GCGGACGGATCTAAAGGCAAACTGATGGCGAACAAGTAGCGACCTAGGTACGCCATCAGGAAAGCGACCTTTGTTCGCTTTCAGTTTGGCAGATGGTGTAAGGTGAAACATATGCGCACTTTTGACGTACCTTGACGAACATGCAGCGACCTATTAGCAAAAGGTCGCGACTAGTACGTTTGTGTTCGTCATGACAAACTAAAAACAAAATCAGAACTTACAGAATATTTTGCGTCGGGAAGTAAGGGCCTACATGACGTTTTTCTTACAATGCATCGATATGGCCCGGCAACATATCGTTTCCTTTGTTTTAGGGGTCGCTGAATACGAATATGCGTACCGGAAGTCGATACGGGAATCGGAAGTACCTTAATTCAAGATGGCGGCCGTCAGGGGCCTAAATACAGAACTTAGTGAAGTTGGGGTATTGTATATGTGTTTCTTCACCCATAGTTGAAGGCCTTACATCACAGTTGAGCCTCAAGTTTTAAACATGTTATTCTGGTATATTTATGAGTCAAAACGATTCAGGTGATGAAAACTAGGTAATAGTTATGTAGGTTGGTTCTTTTTTAAACAAATCAAAACAAAAATAAGTTCCGGAAACTTTGGGTTGGTAAAGGAATTACACTTTTCATAGTTCAGTCTTCAGTCATTTGTTCCAATTTTCACTTAACGCGCATGATTTCAGAAGCTAGGATAATGCTAAAACCTCTCCGTAACTTCTACAATATTTGGAGGGTATGTCATTATGGGCTGAACCAATAAAAACAGCAGATAATTATTACTTAAAACAAGAAAAGAATTTTGGAGCATATCGTAGACATAAAAACGTTTTTGTCAAATTGCTTATGATGCTTACCAAAAGCAGACTGCTGCAGTAGAGAGTGGTAGGCCATAGGTCTACCATTAGGCTGCTGCTGATTAACAGGTTGGCAGTGGTACATCTGCTGGTTCTGGGCGAGCTGCCGGTGCAGGGCTAGCTGCTGGTTCCTGGGGTTTTGGAGAACACCAATCTGTTGGTTATTGTCATGGTTAGGCCAAACCCCAGCAACAAGCGGCTGCTTCTGCATCTGCAACAACACCAAGTATTAAGTTCAACTTTAAGTATCACTACATGTAGACTTAAAATCAATCAATGAGCAAGATTTCAATATTGTTCATGTGCAACACATTTTGTAAATAGTGAATTTCAAAATAAATTGTACATTTTGCAAACATAATTTATACAGTGCAGCGAATAACAGTCTTACCTGCAGAGCATTGTGCACCACATTGCCATAGAGCTGCTCCTTTGGCACGAATTCCATTGCCTTTGGATGCACCACACCGATGCCCAGATGTGCAGGAGGTGGTGGCCTACCACCTGTAGTGCCCGTGTACCGCCCACGTTCGTTATACTGACGATTTCCCCTAATTTTCAGGTTGTTGAATTTCTTAAAAGAGAAAAGCACATTACATAGCTGTTGACAGTTAATCTTGCAAATAAATTGATTTCTTTGTATCATAGAGTACAGCTTTGTAGTACGAAGCACCAGTCTCTTACAAGGAAATGTAACCTTACCTCCTTCCAATTCTCCCCGGTTTGGAATGCTCCGCCCATGGCATTCACTTGCGCAGCAAGTGCTTCCCACTTCGCAATAACGCGGCCAGTGGCTCCAGGGCCCATAAATTCCCCTTACATTTCCCTGTCAGCCGCCACGATTTCCATCAGGCGTCACCACTGTTGCTCTGTAGGATCTGCTATACAAACACGAAAAAGAAATGGTCAATACGGATACGGAATGAATGAAATGTGAAGTGTGACCACGTGTGATGGTTAGGTTATGATGTAAACAATAGTGGCTGCCCTGTAATTGCGAACCAATTGCGAAGAATTGTCTTTGTAATGCGAATCAATGCCTTTGCAGGCTAACAAAGCAGCCAAAATCTTCGCAATACGAACAAAAACTTTGAAAGGCACTATCAGTGAGTTATTTCAAAAAACAAAACGTACCAATCACGCAGCCGCAGATGGACGGATGGATGGTGGACTCCTGCAACATTCAACCCGCTCACCAACAACGCGAACGGCGAACACGAGGTAGCGGAAATGGAATTGAGTTGCAGGGTCAAAGTGGAGTGGAGAGAGCGCTTGTCACTAGACGACTCGGACGAGACGTATGAGGACAAATACGTCCAAGACGAGGAGCTGGAGGTGGACGGGAATGAGAGTGGGGTTGAAGGGGGCGGTTGATGGCTGTAGGCCAGGGGTGGCCTGGAGGGTGGGAAGTTGTGCAAAAACAACAGCTGCAAAATTTTAAAGAAATTACACAAGACGACGCTGAGGAAAGGAAACTACTACTACTACTACTATTACTATTATTATTTGTGACTATCTCATCACAAATCTGTCACTTTGAGGTTCATTAAATGAATTATGAGCTTGAACATTCATACTTCTTTTACATCCTTGATTTAAATCAATATTGCTTTACTGATTACTTTCAATACTGACAATTGTATCAATTTATGACAAAAACTTTTCAGCAAGAGTATGATTGCCTGTGTTGGACTTGAGGATTTCAAATCCTACCGATAGAGTGAAATAGATCTTTATTGGAACACAATACCGTACATTCATCTACATAGTTTTATAATAAGGTCACAGATTTCAGTAACTATTTCACATAAATAACTATAGGTTGGCAGAGAAATCTATAACTAAGGATTTGAATTTCTGTAACAGTTTACAGAACAAGGTATAATTGTTGACATGAATTTCTGTATCACATTACATGAATCTGTAGGTTCAGTTTTAGATTTCTGTAACACGATACAGAATTGAGATTCAATATTGGCACAAATTTCTGTATGACATTACAGAAATCTATAACTAAAATTACAGCTTTCTGTAACAGGTTTTACAAAATTATGGGTCAAGCGGATACAGAATTCTGTATCAAATCTGATACA